AAGAACATGAGAGGCCGTCTGAAGTTTGACAATGAACATCTGAAGGATTCAGAGAAGGCTTGGGAGAAGAAGATGTGGTCAGATGAGACATCGAGATCTTTGGCCCCAACCCGCCACGCCGTGTTAGAAGAAGAAAGATGCTGACTATAACCCCAGAACACCATCCCCACCGTCAGGCATGGAGGTGGAAACATTCTGCTTGGGGGTGTTTCTCTGCTAAGGGGACAGGACAACTTCCCTGCATCGAGGAGAGGATGGACGGGGCCATGCACCGTAACATCTTGGCCGATAGCCTCCTTCCCTCAGCCAGGACACTGAAAATGGGTCATGGAGGGGTCTTCCAGCAGGACAATGACCCTGAACATACGGCCAAGGCAACACAGGAGCTGCTAAAGAAGGAGCACATTTAGGTGATGGAGGGGCCTAGCCAGTCTCCGGACCTTAATCCCATAGAAAATCTGTGGAGGGAGCTGAAGCTTCGAGAGGCCAAGCATCAGCCTCAAAACCTGAAGGATTTGGAGAGGATCTTCAGAGAGGAGTGGACCAACATCCTTCCTAGATGTTCACAAACCAGGTGACCAACTACGAGAAGCGTCTGACCTCTGTGTGTCCAACAAGGGTTTCTCCACCAAGTACTAACACATGTTCTGCAAGGGGATCAAATACTTATTTCCCACAATTTTTATATTTTATATAATGTCAATTTCTGGATTTTGTTTTTGATATTCTTACTCTCACTGTCAAAATAAACCTACCATTAAAATGATAGACTATTAATTTATTTGTAAGAGTGTAACAAACTAAATCTGCTAGGGATCAAATAATTATTTCCTTCACAGTGCATGATCTAAAATCAGTGTTTTTCCAACATCATCCTGTCTGCAGCAACGGTTCATCAGTATAAGGCCCTGGGTCTGAATAACTGTATTCTTCCATGATATGGATTTTTGGGGAAAAGTGGTTTGAAGACAAGAAATTAGAGAAAGAGAAGGAGAAGAAGATTCAAGGCATCTCTCCTTATGTTTCTCAAGTAGAAACTTCAAAAGAAATGTGACTGCAGACCACACTTTCATTCTGATATTTGAAAGCAAATAAACTCCCTGAATATAAGATCTGGAAAAACTGCACCAGTGCAGACAGTGTTTTATTATAGTCACTCAACTAGTGTGAAGTTGACCATATTTATCACAGAGGTTGAAGCTGGGCAAAAGTGAGATGGTGCTAACACAAGCTAGCTAGCTTTGTAAGAAAGGAAGAATTGTGAAATGTATTGGGATGCTAGTTTTAGTTAGCAAGAATCAGGCTTTTATTTTTTTTATTTTCTTTTAACCTTTATTTAACCAGTGCAGGCTTGTGCTTTAATGTACTTGTGGAGTGCTTGGAGTGTCTTTATTAGTACTGAATGATGGATAATATCTCACAGCAATGCCATGGAATCGAGATGTAAATCAGAAGGTATTCCGGCCCTTCAAGCATACCCTGCTTTGTTGTCTTTTTATACTATGAACGGGACCATAATTGTGCATCAGACTTCTTGAATCTGGCCTTTGAGAATATGAACCAATACAGAAAAGGTTTATTGAGGTAATAAATCAGGTGAGGCTAGGGTCATTTTGTCATAGACTTCTGAATGTACTGACTTCTATTTGCAACCAATGCAGTCCATTTCTGATTATTCAAAAATAACGCAGGTTCAAGGCACTTCCTCATTGACTTAGCGTTTTAGATGAAGAGGTGTCCTCTTAATTTAAAGTTAATTAATGCGTCTTCATATTTTTGGCTTTCAATATGTCGTCTCTTTTCCAGGTGGTCCATTACTCCCATCATGTACCCAGCATCCTTCTGGTTCGAGGTGCCCAGTACAGCCTACGTGTTCCTTATAGTCATCAACCTCTTCATAGGCATCACTGCAACTGTTGCCACCTTCCTGCTCCAGCTCTTTGAACATGATAAGGTCAGTTTGACTATTGTTCCCTCAGCTTTTGTTGTGCAGTATTATCAGATGTAGTCTCAGATCACTTCTGTGTTAATTCTCCACTATCTTCATGTCTTTAGGATCTGAAAAGAATCAACAGTTACCTGAAGTCCTGTTTCCTGATCTTCCCCAACTACAACCTGGGACATGGCCTGATGGAGATGGCTTACAATGAGTACATCAATGAATACTACGCTAAAATAGGTACACCTATAACGGAGCAATGTTTGTAGTTTCTCTCACGATTATTTAATGTGATTGTGAAGAAGTCAGAATAATTATTGTACTGTATGTGTTTGTGTGATACAAGGGACATAAAAAACAACATTCGAATGTACCATGATAAGGGCAAACAGGATGATGTTAGAATTTAGAATCATTGTTATTTCATCTTTTGTTGCCTATCATTTTCTTTTATAAAAATAATATAATAATAACTTTACTAGCAAAATCTACTTTATTTGCAGAAATATTAAATGAAACAAACACTTAAATAAGTATGTATTTTAGACAGTAACAAATTGAAATGCATAAAACCTTAAGTTGGCCTCAACAAGTTGGACCTTTAACTATTTTACTTTTCAAACAGACAAATATTTTTGAAAGAAAAGTAAAGAAGATATCAATCGTTATAAATGGTGCGCTTTCAGGCCAGTTTGACAAGATGAAGTCTCCATTTGAGTGGGACATCGTGACGCGAGGGCTCGTTGCCATGACAATCGAAGGCTTTGTTGGCTTCCTCATCACCATCCTCTGCCAGTACAACTTCCTCAGAAAGCCGCCGTGAGTCCTGTTGGTTTCTATGAGTGTGGGGAATGTCAGGATTTACTGTCACTCCTTCAGACTTAGTGTGTGTGTGTGTGTGTGTGTGTGTGTGTGTGTGTGTGTGTGTGTGTGTGTGTGTGTGTGTGTGTGTGTGTGTGTGCAGGAGGATGCCTGTCAGTTGCCAGCCAATAGACGATGACGATGTAGACGTGGCCTGTGAGAGACGGAGAGTGTTACGAGGAGACGCTGACAATGACAAGCTAAAGATCGACAACCTCACAAAGGTTCATTTTCATTTAATCGTTTATTTGAATCGGGACAGTGCACATTGATGAACACTTTAAAACAAAATAATGCTTACAAGTGTAAGTGAGCCGGATTTTTGCTTTGAGCTCATTTCCATCCGTAGTCCCGTCACATACAACATATAAGAACATGACATTTATATACATAGAAAAAATGAATACATGATATCCAGGAAGAGCATGAGCAGTGTACACAAGCATTGTAAACATTTATAAATAAAGCACATACTTTTAAAATTGTCAAAACTCAAGAAATTGTGATTTTCAAGGATGGTACAGTGGTGGTATGACTGTGGCTTTCTGTCAAACACCTGGATAGCTCTCTTGAACAGCTGTTCTATGGGTTTCAGGTTTGTGGCACAAGCAAACGACCAGTTTGTCAAACAGTATTCAATGTGGGATAGAATCACACGCTGGAGGTATGACTTTGCAGCATTGACAGTTTAGAAAGGTCTCATTTGTTTAAAAATGTTGCAAGTTGAATTTAATGGTATTGGATACTTTCTTAATATGTTTCTTAAAAGTCAAGTTCGAGTCCAATATGACTCCAAGACACTTGAAGTGGGAGACTAGTTCTATTTCTGCTCCGTTTAAAAACACATTGGATCATTTAGCTCTCAACATTTAGAACATTCCAAGAAGCAACTGTTTTGTTTCTACAGAAATGTGCACGCAAATGCATATTTCACTCAAACATTGTAGCGTTAAAATTACTCCTTTGTTTACTTGACGGACATAATGACATCACTATGTCAAATAGTGTGAATTAGAAGCAAACAACTGTTTATGTTTACTGCCAGAAATGAGTGCCACCCCTGTTTCCAATACTGAATAATCAATTTAACCTACCAGTAAAACACCCATTTTGTCTGTGGAATATACATGATTTATAGTTAAGGAGCGTTGGTTTACTAAAAAACTGGTATGTCCCTGTGTTCAGGTTTACAAATCCAGGAAGATGGGTCATATCTTGGCTGTGGACCGGCTGTGTCTGGGCGTCCGGCCGGGGGAGTGTTTCGGACTGCTGGGAGTGAATGGAGCAGGGAAGACCACCACCTTCAAGATGCTGACAGGAGATGAGTCTACGACTGGAGGAGAGGCCTTCATTAACGGAAACAGGTCAGTGGCAGAAAATGATAACTTTTAATGTTCGTGTGCTTTTCTATTTTCTTTACTTAAGATCACAAAGAAGAAGAAAAATTAGCAACACACATCAGTTGAAAAACATAGTTTATGACCTATAGTATGTGGACACCTCTCTATTTGTCTCAGCCACACTCTAATGCTCAGCTGCTGCACGTTGACATATATAGAGGGCAACATAGGAACTAGAAAAATTTGTAATGTGTCTTTTTATTGCTAATTGCCACAACATGCCTCAGATTAATGCACACTGCTAAGGATGTAGATGTGCCACAGAGTGCAGTTCCCTGAATGTCCACTTGAGGCCTGTTCAAAAGTGATGTGAGAAAAAAGTAGACTCACAACGTTACAGAAGAAATAAACATGTTTGCAGCCTGGTGCAAGATAGCAGGTACATTAAAGGTTATTTATTAAAATTAGGAATGCAATTCATTTTTGTTAAAATCAAGCTGTGTGTGTGTGTGTGTGTGTGTGTGTGTGTGTGTGTGTGTGTGTGTGTGTGTGTGTGTGTGTGTGTGTGTGTGTGTGTGTGTGTAGTATCCTGAAGGACCTGTTGTGTGTGCAGCAGAGTATCGGCTACTGTCCGCAGTTTGACGCTCTGTTTGATGACCTGACTGCTAGAGAACATCTGGAACTTTACACTCGCCTCCGTGGCATTCCCTGGAAGGACCAGGAGAGGGTCAGTCAAACACACACACACACACACACACACACACACACACACACACACACACACACACACACACACACACACACACTCCCAGCTCTAACCTTTGTTTAGTGGTGGGACATCTGCCCCCCCGAGCAGATGAATGGTCCTGGCAGACTGACAGTACCCTTCCTCTCCTCCAGGTGGTGCAGTGGGCATTAGAGAAGCTGGAGTTGTCAAAGTATGTAGACAAGCCTGCCGGAACTTACAGTGGAGGTAATAAACGCAAGCTCTCCACTGCCATCGCTCTGATTGGATACCCCTCACTCATCTTCCTGGTAAGACGCTGGAATGGATGTTCCTATATGCTGCGCCTTGTTTGAGTGACACATTGGGAGTGGAATGATGCTTTAATGTTTAGACCCTCCAGAAAAACGCGATTCTGCGATCGCAGAATTTACCGCATAATCAGCAAAATGGCGCATATTTTTAAAGGCCGCATATTTATCAAAAGGCCGCATAATCCCCACATTTTTTCACACAAAGTTGAGAAAAAAAAAAGTGAACTCGTCTTGACGTGAAGTAGTGATGATGATGACGCGACGTCATAAGCTCGCGCATCACAGAAGGTAAACAACTCCGTAGAGTGAACGTGTGGAACTCACACGAGAGAGAAAACACCAAGATGAAAAAATCTGATCCATCTCATTTACCGACGAACATTTCTGCTAGAGACCAGGCAAAGCAGTACCCCGATGTCTTTCACGAAAGTGGGGGGAAACTATTCTGCACCTTGTGCAACTGTGTGTTGGAGCATAAGTCGACGGTGACGACCCACTTTGATTCATTCAAACATTCGAAAATGCTTTCTGCTGCTGCGGACAAGAAAGCCAAACAACTCACGTTCACCGAGGCATCAACCTTCAAAACGCTTTAGAGGGCTACAAGAAACGAAGTGAGTAGCCTATAAGATTGAAGCTGGTCAGATAACGAACGAGTAAATGAAAACAGAATGAGGCGGAGAAGTGTGTGTGTGTGTGTGTGTGTGTGTGTGTGTGTGTGTGTGTGTGTGTGTGTGTGTGTGTGTGTGTGTGTGTGTGTGTGTGCGAGAGTGTGTGTGTGTGTGTGTGTGTGTGTGTGTGTGTGTGTGTGTGTGTGTGTGTGTGTGTGTGTGTGTGTGTGTGTGTGTGAGAGAGAGAGAGAGAGAGTGTGTGTGTGTGTGTGTGTGTGTGTGTGTGTGTGTGTGTGTGTGTGTGTGAGAGAGAGAGAGAGAGAGTGTGATTAAAATAGCCCAATTGCTTTTAAACATTGAATATGTTTAATTGAATAGGAAAGGGGTTTAACGTTAGTGGCAGGTTGTGTGTGAGAGAGAATAAATAAGACAGCCCAATATTTAAAAGAAAATCTATTCTTTTATTCGCAACTTTCTGCATATTTCGCAACTTCCCGCAATTTTACCGCATAAAATCACATAAAAACCCTGCATGTTTAATCGCATAATCAAGGATTTTAGCCCGCATAATCAAGGATTTGTGCCCGCGTTTTTCTGAGGGTCTAGTTTATGTGGACCTGGTAGAAGGGCCACGGAAACTATAATGAGAGTACAGTATATACTGTCCAATAAGCTGTATTTTGTGGGGGCTTCCAGGATGAGCCCACCACTGGCATGGACCCGAAGGCCCGCAGATTCCTCTGGAATTTGATCCTGGACATAATAAAGACAGGACGCTCTGTTGTGCTGACATCACACAGGTGAGACGTCTTAGTCCTTACATTCAGTGGAATCCCGCTCTTACTGTTGCCATATACTTTCACTTTTTTCACAATAGTACTTCAATCCTGAAAGGCAAGCAAGAACAAAAAAGTTCTGGTGATCCATTTCCTAATGAAATTCTTCTTGCAGTGTGTTTGACTGAACGACACGGAAAATAAGCTTTATTTTAATTTTGTCATTTTCGAAACAAGTGGAGAATAAAAGGTTTGCTGGGAACATTGATTTGGATCACTAATTCCATTTCTCATTTACCAGTTACTCTTTTTTCTCAGGCAGTGAAACAAGAGCAAAGTGCCAAAAACTGCATTTCCTCAAATAGATCTTTATTGACCCCCGTGTTAAGAGGACCCACTGTACAGTAAGGATAAACAGGTTTCACAGCCTGGCAAAAAAAAAACATGTATATACAATTATATCTTTTGTATAAATCAGCTGTTTATTATTTCACAAACACAGGAGAGAACACAGGAGAGAAGCATATTAAGATGTTTATATGGATCTCTTGGGGAAAACAATCGGACTTCCTTTGAGGGCTTCCAGACTGTAGCGTACTGTAGCTAACGTAGTGTGTCTGCTGCTCTGTGCAGCATGGAGGAGTGTGAGGCTCTGTGCACCAGGCTGGGCATCATGGTTAACGGCAGGTTCAAGTGCCTGGGCAGCATCCAACATCTGAAGAACAGGTCAGAAGCTCCACCTTCTTCCTGTGTTTTAATATCAACTCTCAGATCTATATGACTATGTCTCATGTCCATCATGTCTTTATATCCAGGTTTGGGGATGGCTACATGATCACAGTGAGGACCAAGAGCAGCTCCAATGTGAAGGAGGTGCTGCGATTCTTTAACAGGAACTTCCCTGAGGCCGTGCTGAAGGTACGTTACTGCAGAGACTCCAGGAGATCAGAATCTATGAGAAGGAAACAAACCATGAGAGGATTGGTAGGCAGTGTGCAGGGCTGTGAGCCTCTTCATTTTGTGGGTTCAGAGCTGTCACTCTTATCACCATGGTTTCCTGCCGCAGCACAAAGCTGTTATAAGTGATAACACTCTTAACCCTTTCTGTTGTCCTCAGGTCAAATTTGGACGATCTTCAATTTTTGTTATGTCATGAAGTTGGTTTATTTCCTCTTATTGCCACAAAAATAGCATGGATGGTATCATGCTATGCTCTTTGTAAGAAAAGGTAACAACCACTACTTTCAATAAATTATGGTCTTTTTATTCAAATTTGTAGCATCACATGTTGCCCCTGGCGGCTTCAGATGCTACTTACTTGCAGGGCTGGACTGGGACAGAAAATTGGCCCTTGCATTTTGACCCGGACCGGCCCACACCCATCAAACCAAAACACAGTAGCGGCTCCTGACCAGAGGAAAATGCTTACTATCAGTGAACACAAAACTACCAACACACATAAATGTGTAACTTTGGTTTGAGAAGTGGGACATAATGATAAATTCTGGCAGGAAGAATAGTTCTAAAATATGTCTAAGAAAAAGCTGTCCTTCCTTCTGAATTGCTTAATATAGAGGCCGATTGCCAACACTGGAGAGAATCATTTTAAGCAGTGGAAAATGTTCACAATTAATGTTCAAAATAAAATAATGTGAGATTCAATTTCCACTTTTTTTCCTTCTTTTATTTATGGTCATATATCTTAAGACTCCAAAGAATACACAATATGAAATGTAAATAATGAATTTGAACTCCCAATAATAGACCAATCTACTACCAAAAGAGAAACATATGGACATACTCTATTGTATATAATACGTGTGCAAACCTATTTAGCATCATATTCCTAACCATGTGAACCTGTTTTATTTCGGGGTGGACCTCACATCCAGTAAGGGGGTCCAGGGGCATGCTTTAATGTTGGAAGTTAAATGCTTAAATCTGGTGCACTTTGATGGAAAAATGAAGATATGTAAACCCTCAAGAGAGTCCTTTACCTCACTGAGCTGAAGTTATCTCTCTCAGTCTGACAGGAGAGAGCTCGCCTCCACCTTGTTGCAGAAACATCTCCTTAGCTCCGAGCTAGCACCAGATGCTAACAACAACAATCCCGGTAACTGGTGCGCTCTCACTCTCTCTCTCTCTCTCTCTCTCTCTCTCTCTCTCTCTCTCTCTCTCTCTCTCACTCACACAAAATGCTCTCGTGCCACACACAAACACAGGGCCGAACTTGAACAGAGGCTGTGTGCTTCTCTGTGGCGATGACGGCTTGCGGTTAAAAGATCATTAGAAACAAATTTGAACGTGGGGGGGACACAAGCAGGATTTTGAAAAGTATACAGGTCTCCCTTGAAAAATAGATCATTGATCTCAATGGGATTTCACCTAGATAAATAAAGGTTTTGAATTGAATACAAATACCTGAATGGGCCGTCATAAAAAAAAATTAATACTAAGTTTAGTCAGCCCAAAATGCACGTCGGCCCACCGGGAAAGTGCCCAGTATGCCAGATGGCCTGTCCAGCCATGCTTACTTGCTTACTTGAATCCTGACAATATTTTTGATTTGTTTTTGATCTACTGATTTTGCTATAATCATTCTGCCATGCAAAGTAAATGCTCTGGCCGCTGAAGTCCGATTTCTAAGTGTGGAAGTGGTGAGCAGAATCCTTTCAAGTAAAGCACTATTGATGAAAACATGGAAAATAACCAGATCCGTAGACCTTGAATGGAAAATGGTTTGATTTGACTTTGGCAAGTGCATTTTGCACATTGCGGACGCTCAAATATTTGAGGAACCACACAACCAAAACTCTTTACAAATGCAGGTCTCTACTAATTCATAATAATAGATTTTTCCAAATTGTAGAATTCCAAAAAGCAGTGTAAATGTTGTGGTAATGGGTTGGCTGAAGAGGTGTTTTACTTAAATTGTGGAACATTTATATTTAATGCTGCTTTCTACAACAGTTAGCAGTCAAACCAGACAACAGGAGTCATTTGTGCTGCCATTAAAAATCTTTAATCCGGACTAAACCTTGACATATACCAGTCCAGGATAATCTATCAACTCATATTCCTCTGAATGAAGTTGGTGCCTTTTTTTATCTCAAAATGTTGGTTTTATTTAGTAAATCAAACAAATAACAACACTTTATACACAACACACATTACAGTGGCTTAACAATGAATCATTTACTCTTAGTGTGCTTAATCTATACAGGGAGGACCAAGGTTTGAATATACTTTCTGTATATGATACCTGTTGGAGAAATATTTTCCTAGGCCTTGACCCAGTTAATCAGTTTGCACTTCCCTTACTAAGCACAGGCTGTGCTCTCAGTGTTTTGTCTCCTTGCTCCTGCCTGTTGGCGTCAGCTGATAGAGGTTATAGTGCTTTATCTTGTTATGCAGCAGGTGGATTATTCTCTCAGAACCAGCTCAATACATGGGTCTGGGGGAGAGATCTTCAGAATTGGTTTGGCAACTTCTGTGTCACCTCGTGGCTGCAGCACATGTCTTGTGAATTCTCCGGCCGAAGCTCCAAATAAACCCTCAGTGTTTGCCGTCAAAGTTCCTGCTCTCCGCATGTCTCTCTGAGTTTCGTCTCCATTGCTTCAGAAGTTCCCATCACAATGCCGACTGCAGATACAGTGCCGAAACGGATTGCCACACTTACTTATACTAATTCCTTTCAGAAATGTATTTAGTGTCACTGATCTGCTTTATCTTCTTTACAAATAAGTTCAAAAATGTTCACGTTACAATGTTTCTATTGAAGAAATGTATAATTTCCAAATATGATTGAATTATTACCGTAGTGTTATGAAGCCCAGTTCCTCTGCCCACAGCCTGCCAGCGGGGGTCAGCAGCTTCGATCATTCTGACTCAGGGATGAAATTATAAGAATGAAGAAGTCCCTGTTCGCTGTTCATTAACAAAAAACGTTACTATTTACTATCACAATTTCACAAGAAAAGACAATAGAATAAAAACGGTTCTTGACATGTTGGACACAGGGAGGACCAGCTGACCGAGGCTGTAACTCTACTTTGGTTTTGTCGCATTTGATATTTCACATTTTACATTTCCAGCTTTTTTTCAGATTTTGTTGAGGTGGGTTAGGTTAGTGATCTTTGTCTACTCATTGAAGACTGCCAGCTGTTGTGAACTTTGCAGGAGCGTCACCACACTAAGATCCAGTACCAGCTGAAGTCTGAGCGGATCTCCCTAGCTCAGGTGTTCAGTAAGATGGAGCAGGTGGTGGAGGTGCTGGGCATCGAGGACTACTCCGTCAGTCAGACCACTCTGGACAATGTGAGGCACTGTACCTGGATCAGCTTCATGCAGTACATGCCACAAGGGAAACAAATGGAATGAATCCCCTTTATTCTGTTGTTCTGCTAAGGTGTTTGTCAACTTTGCCAAGAAGCAGAGTGACAACCTGGATCAGCAGGAGGTGTCCCCCCCGGTGCCTGGACAGTCCCCCCTGCAGCGCATCCTCAACCTGCTGAAGTCTCGGCCGGCCCCCACGGAGCTCAGTGCTCTGATCAGCGAGGAGCCCGCCGAGCTGGAGAGCGACGATGACGAAGGACTCATCAGCTTTGAAGAGGAAAGGGTGAGAGGATCACAACTTTCTTCATTTATTTAACTAAAAAGTTGACAACAATAATAAAGTCTCTGTCTTTTTCTATAGAGTGGCGAAGTCACGCTCATCTACTTCCGGTCCATGGAACCTTATTTCAGAAAAATAATGTATTGAAGTCAATGGAGAGAGAAAACTTATCTTTCGATCCCGTTTGAATTGTGCCATGAATTACACATATGATGTTTGTCAATCTTAAAAAATCATTTCCATGTCAAAAAAGTCACAGTTTGTCGTAAAACTGTTGAAATATAAGACTATGAAAAACTACAAATCCCAGAGTCGCGTAAGTGATGTCACAATTGTTTTCCTCCACTAAGAGATAGCTAAGATCAGCGCCATATAGATAGAATCTATCTATATGGTAACTTTAACAAGATGCCTGTGTGCTTAGTACCAGGTTGTTATCATACCAGCAATGGGTCTTGCTCGTTCTTTTGCGTCCCATCTGATGAAAGGACCAGGAGTGGCTGGATCAAGTTAGCTACCTAGCTAGTAGCTAGCACGTTAGTTAGCATTACAGCCTTGTCATTTTTATTAGCCTTAACATTAAGTAACCCAACATGTTAAACAGCAAGATTGGTAGTCATATGTCGTGAACCCTTTGAAGAGTACTGTCACACCGGTGTGATCATTCTATAATACACCATTTAAGCCCGGGGGAGAAATGCTAACGCTACATTAGCAT